GTCCTCATTTCAACTTTGTTCAGTCGTTCATCTGGGTTCACTAAAACTATCAGGGACATATAAAAGATATGATTTGTTTGTTAGCTTTTTGGACTAGATTTACTTTTCACAACGCCCAATACAACGCTCTGGGTCATTCATGGCGACGTAATAAGTCATTTCAGTGTGGAAGGGCTGAGAGGCTACTGGCATTAACCAAATGTGATACTGCCAGACGGGCTGCAACCTATGAAGAACGAAGAGCCCCTCTTATCTAAGTATACGCTTAATACCAAACCTCAAAAGTTTCCTTTTGAAGACTAAATAAAATGAGCAAGTAATCGGTGTTTTCGGAAGGTAAAAAAGTGTCCTCCTTTCATCTTTTTTAAGTTCTAAGGAGCGTGAAGTGTTTAATTCCATATTTTATTTGCAATTTGCAAATAGACTGATGAATTCCTGATCGAGGCAGTTACTTTGGGCAGGTTGGAAAAGATAAGAATAGGTCACGATGGTGAAGCTCCGACACCGAACTGGTATTTGAATAAAGTGACTGTGGAGGAAGTGGAAAATTCAGCCAACAAAATTGTGTTTGAACTCAATGCGTAAGTTCTGTGCTTTAAAGACCATATCAATCAGTATCGCTGCAATGAATAATTACACAACAAATAACTTAAAGAAGTGGTTATAAGGAGAAAAAAAGACTTCCATAAAAAGTTAACGCCCCTGTTTAAAAAGACATAAGCCACTCGTAAATGCGTCAAAAGTTAACCATACTTTTTTCGAGCACTAGATTTTGGAGCCACTTCGATTGATACTAAGCCATTTGAATTCTGTTCGGATCCAAATTTGTTTTATTACCCGGAATTTTTAGTTGGTTGGCTACCCGAAGACCGGACGGTTCTTACGAGGAAGAACTCTACCCCACACAGAGACCAGAGAGTAAGGCTGCTGTTATATAAATATTGTACTTTAACTTTGTCAGATGAAGCCTTCAAGTGGAGGGTTTCTTGGTAACCCATTTTTCTAGGTGGTACCTCAGGTTTCCCAAATGCTGAAATTTGCGATAGGACAAAGCATATGTATTTAATGAACTTGCACGTGGAGCTTCCTTGTAAACATACTTAAAAATCGAGCATTTTTGCTTTTAGAAATGTAATCATAAAAAACCTTTCACCTCCTGCTCCGTGCTCTAAAGAGGCCTCATTAAAATGGAAATTAGTCGGCCTGTGTGTATTGACGTCGAAAATTTTGCAGCAAAAGTAGCTAGACGTTTCCATTCAGTTTTCATTAAACCACCAAATGCGCAGAAAGGGGCATTGATTCATGCTTATTGAAGCAATGAGAAGTGTGGAGTTTCCATAAATGGAATTACAATTCTGAGGCTGTGTGTTTGTTATTTTTCGTTTAAGTTCCCAATTGCTCTGTAACAATATAAACTAAACAAAGGGAAATGCATCATAGGTAACCTGTTCCATTAAATAATTTTATTGGTTCATTAAGAGGCAGAGAAGTAGACAGCCGCATTTGCAAATAGCAAAAACACGCTAACAGGTACGACCGCATGTGAACTGGATAGTTCTTTAACCACTTTCTGTCAATATAAAGCATAACAAAAGATCGTAATTTAAGAAGTGCCAACTTTTCTATGTGATAGTTCATTCCAAATAATTAAGGGTCAAGCAACGTGGTCCCATTATCTTTACAAGGAATTAGATCATGGTCGTCTATCTTGTATATTAGTTAAGTTTTATGGTAATCACTTTCGATTGCTTTATTGAACACAAAAATGTGGTTTGAACGCTTTAAACTTCACTAAGTTGTTTTATTTTTAAAAGAGTAGAATAACTCACGTTTGACCCGGTTGTCTGAACCTTCGAGTCGTAGCTTAGGTTTAAATATCTACCAACAAAGAAATGGATCATTGAAAAACCGGTAACATAAATCAAAAGAATGCAAAATGTCAATAGTTAAATTAAAGTTTTGTAGGACTTTTGTTGCTCCCCTTCCCTAACCTCGGTTTCAAAATATTTGCTGTGGAATAGGGCATCGAGACTTGTACCCTCTTTGGAGAATGTTAGCGTTGCCACAGCCACCACATTTGTCAAATTTGGCGGCAAGTCACCTCAAAGGTGCAGCCAAAAAACCCGCACGACCACCTTGTTACCTCTAAATAATCCTTTGGTTTTACCAAAACGTCGGTATGATCCGGCCATGTATTTCTAGGTCACGGAGTCTCTCATTTGGCATTTTATGAAGAAAAAAGCCAGAATTTTTTAATTAAATCCACTAAATTGTCATGGAGCTATTAATCTGTCCCCATGTTATGCGAAATCGGCAAGCTTCTCCGCGAAGACTTTCTCCACACTAATTTCATTCACTATTTGATTTGTGTTCCGAGAATCCATAAGAAGGAATTTAAAAAGTACTACCATGCAGCTTACACCTTTCATATATGATTTTCACCAAGATTAGTGAAGAATGATTGGAGAAGAGAAGAAAAAAGACCCTCATTGTAGAATATGTAATGATTCATCTAAACAGCAAACCAGCGAATAAGTTTCTCGCATGTAATCAAATTCAGTAAAGCAGTGTTTGAAGGATCGGCTTTCAACACAATAAGGCATCACCACTTTCAAACACAACTTTTTGTCTGATTAACGAATTATGTCCTTGTTGAACTCGGAAATGGACTAAATTTAATAACTTTATTCCCGAAATGTACCGTCAACCTTTCCGAGTGGATAAATACTAAGATGGCTCAACACAGCACCAAGTATGTTAAAATTAATGGGAACCATTTCATCTCAGCATGTTTACTTAGATAGCCCGCTTTTTTGGCAAAAAGTTTCATTTGATACTAAATTGCGATTTTCTCTTCAGTCTCAGAAATGGTACAAAGACAGACCAAACCAAATAATTTGCGTAAGTCGATTTTTACTTGACATTAAATTTAGCCAAAAGTGTCTAGCTATTCTTTCTTGCTATTTAAGTCGGACAATGAAGATGACATCCAGTCTGACATTCTCTAGTGCTTGCCGTTACATCTTTTCATTTCGCACGGTGCAAAGAATTAGCTTTTAAGCACAAAACTTTGTTGTAGGAGCAAATTACACTGTGAGAACCAGAACAGGCGAGATATTGGGCGCAGAAACAGATGCAAAGATCTACCTCTCCCTCGTTGGTGATGTCGATGAGACACCGTTTGTTCAGTTGAAGCACAGTCAAGCCGATTCTGGACCATTTCGTATCGGACAAGAGGATGTTTTTCACTTTAATAGTCCCTTTGTCGGAAAGGTAGAGTTTATTATATTTGTCATCCATTCTAACCAAATTAGAGCAACTCCTATCACCTTCATGTGTGTCAAACATTGACCACAAAACTGTAAAATTCGTAAATTAGCGAGTAGGAACCGATTAATTTTTGTTCAAAAGTTAAGTACTAGTTTTTACAATCCTTCTACACCTTAGATAGAATCAGCAAAAGTGATGCTGGAGAGTAAAGACGAGAAATCTACATGGTATCTGAAATTCCTCTCCGTAACGGTGAATGAAGTGTCTCTGCGGTATCACTTCTCTGTTGACAGATGGCTGTCCAAAATTAAGTCGGATGATAGGATGCTGTATGAATTCTCGCCTTCCTCGATTGAACGAATCTTTTCAGGTAATAAAAGAACCTTATTTATCGTAAAGTTAGTGACATCTTAGTTGTACCTTTTCTCTCCTCTTCCCCTCTGCCCTCTCCACCATCTCACAATATCACTATTTGAAAATCTAAGCAATTTTACTGAAGAATTGCTAATTTTATGAAAGTCGAAATAAGAATATGAAAAAATATTTTTCTGAGGTGGAAATATACGAAGGAAAAATTTAGCACAACTTCATCAATCTATCATGAAGGACCCTCCAAAAGGCTACCCTAAATACCATTAGTCTGCTCATGGGACGGGACTCAGACAAAATTCAAACAGGTAGGGCGCTTAAATGTGCTTGAATCAAGCCAAAACATCTATTAATGGTGTTATTCATATTCAAAATTGTTAAAAATCCGAAACTTGGTCTGATATTAGGTTAAATGCATTAACAGCGGGTTGTTTAAACAAAAGCCATACTCATTTTGTAATTTTGTTCTCTTTCACCATGATAGTTCCACTATTTTTGTTAAGAGTTTTATTTATTAACTCGGGTAGTTTGTGGTTTTGCTAATTTATTACTTGCTGAAATAGTAACTTAGGCATGCACGAAAATGCAGTTGCTGAAGTACTAATCGACACCGATGTCGGTGCTTCATTTTTCTTGCTCTCTTTTATTTCGGACAAGTATGTACACATTGTTCACCTTTTAGCCGTACCTTATGAAGTAATCTTCTATACGGGAAACGAGTCAAATTGTGGAAAGGATACTTTGGTCCACCTACAATTGTTTGGGAACAAGGGTGGGAAGCAAACGGAAGTACTATTGTTTAAAACAGACGGAAAGATATTCAGCGCCGGTGGTGCAGACAAATTTAACGTGCGTTTACAAACTCTATATCATTAAAATGGAGGTATGGTTTCACAAATGGTAACAGGTGTGGCTGCCAAAAGAGTAAAAAAGTCAATGCCCTCATAACATTTATGACTGATTTGACATCTAGGTAGCAAAGCAGGAGCCAAGTTTCTTACTCTTTAAGGTATACAGCAGCGAGGTAGGAGATATCACCAAAATACGAGTGGGTCAAAACGGTAAAGGACCTTCGTCCTACTGGCTACTAAAGAAAATACTCATTCGCAAACCATCCACACACATTTGTACCCACTGTCATGGGGAAATGTGCCCGAATCTACAGATTACTCGTAAGTCTCTCTTAGGGAAGTTTGAAAGGGTAAAACCAAAGCCGATTTTTCGCTTATGACGAATTTTGAGGAATGGTTAATTTAGTAGAAGCAAACTTACCCGAATTCCTTTTTTAACTAGAAATTTCGTGGGTTACTCAAATTACATCTCTACAGCTTAGAAAAGTATCAATTGAGCATTTCCATGTCATCATATTTAAAATGTTTACGGATTTCAAATCAACAATATGAATGAAAGAAATTACATTCCTTTAAGGAACCGGGTATGCTTTTATTTACAAACTGGTTCCATTAATACAAAAGTGCTTTTGAAACTAATAATGTAAGAAGCATATTTTTTTAGATTTATAACCTAGAAAATAACTAATGTGGCCTTTAGGCTTCATTTTGCAACAGGTAGTAAAGCAATTTCATTCATCCCTGTTTTTCAGATGGAGGCGTAGCTGGTGACACCAGAAGGTGTGAAAACGATCTCTGTGATTGCTGCATGCAATGGCCTAAACAATCGAAAGAAATGTCGTTGCTTAGTTTGGAAAATCGACCGCTTGATGAATATTGGTTCTTCGCCGATCGTTGGTTACCACCTCGTGATGAAAAAGGTGGTCAAAGTTTCTGTGAGCTACTACCCGCAAAGGCCGATGGAACACCTCTTTCAACGGAGAGACGTGGGTCTTTTTCACTTTTATTAAAAGTTTGCGTTCTTTTGAAAAATTTTATAATACAACTATGGCGGCTTTTTACTTAAAAGATAATTCCTCTAGTACTTTGGTGTCTAGAGTGCCTGGTTTTGCTCAAAAATCCCATGAAACAGAATAACTCTGCAAAGCGAGTAATTTTGGAGCATTTAATCCTCATCGAATAGGCGCATCATTGTATGTATTAGTGACCATTGCGTTTATGTAGCTATTAACAGATAAAACAACTTTCATAGTTTATGCGAATTTCTCTTTTCAGTAACTTTCATTTCCTTTTTTAAGGAGAGCTTTTTCAGGCACAAGTTGCAACGATTACGAAATAGGGCATATATGCCCACACTTACATTTGCTTTTACTATTTTTCTAGGAACTATGTATCAAATTCGTCTCAGAACGGGAAATCTGTTCGGTGGAGGAACATCTGCTCAAGTCTATTTAACGTTAATTGGGGAAAAATCGGAGTCTGGGGAGTTTATCTTCCCCAATTCTAAGGGACTCGTTTTCGCTAAAGATCGTGAGGCAGTTTTCAAGGTAGACTACTCCCAAAAACCCTTTTTTCTAATTATCTACTATTTAAAAATTGGCGTTTAAAAGTACATCAATTTGTATTTAAGCGCTTCAACTGGACCCGCTCTGATTAGTGAAATTGTGAATAATCTAGGATTTGTAAGCCACCTAGAAGAAATTGAAATACCCATTAAACTTCAAATAACTCATTATATTTTATAATTGGTTCTCCTCATTTCCCTTATGCATCATAAGTGTGGAATTTTCTTGTATTTTCCCTACCAACTTTGAAAATATACAAAGGAGCAAAGTTAAAGTAAAAGAACTCAAAATCGTCTGGGCCGCAGCATCAAGTAGGGAAGGTGTTATGAACGTTGGTATCGTATATTTCCCACAAATTTTGCGAAAATGCCAGTAAAAGCAGCAAAAGATTCACGCATCTAACAGGACTTGTATGAATAGGTTCTTTCCCCACTAACCTTTTTTAGGTTAACTGTATAGCAAGGTGGCAATCATATCTGCTCACACGGAGCTCATAACCTCACACAAACGTCGGTTTCATTTTCAACTTTAAGCAAAATCCATCAAGATCTGGAATGTCACATGTGAAGCCTGTCCGTAATTATTGTTTATTAACCATGAAAGTGCTGTCACTTGTGGAAGGACAATTAGTACCCATTAGAGAGGTTACCAAAGTTGCTAGTCCATTTCAAAAGAAATTTACGACATTTTTCTTCTGTGAAAACAACACAATGCCGTTTTTTTTTTCAGTTTACCACTTCAAATCTACTTTGTTATATGCTGATTAATTTGACCCTGACGGGAGTAGTTTTTACACCATGATAAGACTTAGCGCCCAAACATACAAAAAAAACCAATAAATTTTCCTTATTATAGGAAGGTTTTTATCTTTTATACTATAATTTTAACTGAGTGTAACCTTAAAACTAATTTCACCGCTTCACCTTGAATGTTTGTCTACGAATTTGAGAGAAGACATAAAAAGCACTTAAATTGTGGATCTGCAGAAAAGGTGAAAACTTTGAAACTTAACATCTTATTTCTAAAAAACGCTTAGTTTTTTAACCTAACCTACATAAAAGAAGAATATTAAAACTATTTTGCATATGTGGAATCATGGCACATCATCTTTGCTGCTTTTGTATTTCACCAGCATTACCATTTTTTTCTGTGGCGTTCTCAAACCTCTCCTTTTTGGACTTATTCCCTTTCCTCTGCCCTGATTATGCAACAATTAAGGTTTACGGATCTAAACAGATTACGTTTAAAGTGGGGCATCAATTTCAATTCGCACAATCGCACTTTAATTTAACTTTTAAAAATTGGTGTAAATTCAAAGAGTATTTTTGCTTGATTGTGACTTGAAAGATATCAAAATAAAACTTGATGCTAAATTTCCGCTCACCGAATTGGATTGGCATTGTTTCGTAGAGGCATTTAAGATTTTTAACAAATGTAATAATACTCGTTCTATGCTAATGGAAACTGTTTGGAGAAGAAGGGGTTCTATTTTTCCCGTAGAAGACAGCTTTAAAATCAGTTTATTAGATGTTAATAGCCTGGCACACATCCATTCTCCAGGTTGAGGCTATAGGCTTGGGAGAAGTGAGAAAAATTCGCCTACGACATGACAATAGTGGCCCAAGTCCAGACTGGTACTTACAAGAGGTGATAGTGAGCGCAAATGAGAACGGTGACGAACGCACCTACTACTTCCCCTGCAATCAGTGGCTGACCGCCACTACTGACGGTTCGGGTCGTCTATTACGCGAGTTCACAGCCGCCTCAACGACACGGAGCCGTGCCAGATCAGCAAACATATCTGTCAGTGAGTATGCCACTGAAAATCCCCCGATGACGCGAAAAAGTGATTTTCTTCCGACCAGTCTATCTTTGAAACGGTCTGAGGATAGGAGCTTCACAAAACCGAGTAAAAATATCTTCTTTGATGATTTTATTAGAGTCTCGTACTTTCTGGAGCACGTGCATTAAATTAGAACCCTGTTCTTTGTTAAGTTACTTCTGTGATCGGTCCGTCTGCGTAGATAAAAATCATTTTCCAATTACTCACGGCACACTCTTATTTACCTTAAAAAGCCCATTTGTCAAACATATTACTATGGCAAATTGTGAGCTTTACAGATGACATTAAAACTGGCTGACTGAAAGTCTACCAATTTCGATTTAATCATTAGAATCAATTGTAAAGAACCTTATTTTTAGGCATTTAAAACCTCTCTAGTTTTTCCTCTCATCCTGGTAAATCAAGAATGAAAGAAACTTTATTCAAGAAACTGCAGTGCAGAAAGTTCTTGGTTGGTTTCAAAGAATAGCGGGGAATGTAATCTGAAAAACAATTTACAGTAGAATAAAATACCTTTCTTTTCAATGCTATTCCTATTTCACTCCACTTTTACTCTAAGATTTTTTTGTCCATTTTTTTAAATTTTAACAAGGAGTCACATTATTCTCTTATGATCGATGGATAGGCGAATCAGGTGAAAATGGAGAGGCTTATGTGGATCTGTCATTTCAACTGACGCCTTTTGATCCTGTTCGAGCAAGTAATGGCGATCTTTGAGTATTTTGCTTTGGCCTATTATGGGACGCATGATTTACAGAAGAAAATTATAGATATGCTGGAAATGTCTTGTGGCTGTAAATGCGGGGTTTGGGTAAGACCTTGAAATCAGCACAATGCCTCATGCCGCAAAATATTCATCGGGAAGGTTTAAAAGGGAAACACAAATTTAACTTTTGCTATGTCAATAAAAAGTCAGGACAAAAGTGAGGAATTTTAAAAATTCCAGTATTAGAATCAGAGTTTAAAAACAAGTGATTTTAAAATTTAACGGCAACTTGCAAAGTTCATTTATTATTAGAACCGTTTCCTAGCCATATTCTACGAGTTCAAGATCTACACGAGTGACATCGTGGATGCTGGGACGAAGGCAAGCGTTTTCGTCGTACTGTGTGGCTCAAAGGGACGAAAGACGAGTGAAGTTCAATTGAAAGGTGTCTTCAAACGGGGTGGTTGTGAAGTTCTCCATGTGGATCTTGAAGATGTAGGTGAACCTCTTCAAAGTCTGTGCATCAAACTCCACAACCAAGGCTCCAGTGCAGCTTGGCATTTGGATCGCGTGGAAGTCCGACCAATGGGAAGTAAATTGCCTGCTGTGAGTCTTGGTTAGCACCACTTTATAATAAGAGGCGTTTTTTATTTATTCAATCTTGTTTAATAGAAAGTAGACACATTTATCAGCAAGTTAGTAGTCAGTTTGCACGTCTTAGAACGAATAGATTAGTAAGCAGGAAACTACGTTAAAAAAATCTCTCAGGTCTTAGCATTACAAGTTCAAGTTTAAGGACTGCCTATCCACTAATGTTTCTGCATAGTATTTAGGAAAATTGACAAACAAAGCTTGCAGCATGGCTTTGAATGCTCACTAATAAGTATTATAAAAACCTCATAAAAATAATTTAGGATTAAAATAAAGAATTTTTGTTGTAAGGTGGTTAGAAGTCTGTACTGCAAAAAGCGATTTGAAAATTTCTGCCGGGGAACAAAAACCAAAAAGAGACATTTCCGATGTTAATCGTAACTCATTTATAACTTAGTGACAACGGGAAACCTCTGTTAAAATAGTAGCTGATCTGTTCACGTAAAAATATTACAAGATATTTTTGTTTAAATTGTGTACTGCTTAACGTCAAAATGTATAACTTGGTGCAAAAGGTTTAGAAACCGAAAAATGTTCACCCCTTCCTTCTAACTGGACGGTGTGGTAAGTGATATGTTCTGAGAATCCAAAAAGTCACTCCCTTCTGTACTAACATGGGGAAAAAACCTAAGAAGACGATATGAAATTTAGTCCATGTCTCAAAACAAGACTCTGACATTCATTTCACACCTTCCTACGTAATGCCAGTGGCAATTTTAACTGCCAAGAAAATAAAAATCCATGGATAAAAGCCTTGTCTTTCCAGTCTTAGTTGTAAGGAGAATCCAGCGGAATTACAACAAATTCCTTATTGTGAAATGTGGCAGACTTACTTATCATAAGTAAGCATATCTGCCTTACCACTTAACAATTCGCCAATCCTGAGGATTTCATAACTCGTTCGATTTGAAAATTTGTCTAATTGTCCAAAACACTTATTCTCACCCCATAAAATATGAGTTTCTACAGTGTCAGCTGGAGTATTCACATATATTACTGTCTAGGAAGAGTTGCTTTTAGCACAAAATTTCGAGCGTGCATAAAACATCTTGTTATATTACCAAGAAAATTAATTGTAACATCCTTTAGGAATGAATGCACATACTCTTGTTCAAATCTTCAGCAGAGGCAAGAGGTGATTAAGTGACTTTAAGTAATAATAAGAGATTTTTAAATAGGCTTTTGGCATATTTTGAAAACATGGACTAGATTATGAATAGCTATTCGCAATTGACCTTAGAAATGAGGAAATTATTTTTCCATTTAACTAAGCCTGATGGAGTCCTACTTCTAGAAATCTGGTAAAGTGTAAATTATTTCTAGCTTTCTTCTTGAATTACCATGGAACTGCAATTTTGTATGACTTAAATTGAATTAATACCACCACAAAGTGGTTACTTTAAATTATACGCAAGAGAAAACACGTGTGGCTAATTAATGGCCATTTTTACGCTTGGGGTATCGGAAGACACTGATTGCATTTGTGAAAATAATTTGCCTTGCAGAAATTTATGCCCCAAAAAGAGGAGGGTCTATCTACTGCAATAAATTTTGATTAAAAAGCTTGCTATACCCACAGCATAGCCATAAAATAACCCTGGAATCATTTAGCTGCATAATAATCTTGCATTTTGTAGGATGAAGTTTACATTTTCAAATGCAATCGCTGGATCACAGATTTGGACAAGACAGGAGTAATTCTGAATGCCACAACAGGAAAACGCCAATTGTCGTCTGCTGCGTTCGCGGAAGAGACAAATACCTATGAGATCACATTCACAACAGGTTCTATATCAAATGCTGTTACCCCAGTACGTGCCTACCTCTGCTTAATTGGCGCAGATGGACGTACGGAGGAGAGACAGCTGGTGCCAGTGAAAGATTCCACCGAACCTTTCCAACCTGGGAAGGTGGGTTATGGCCCCATTTGAGGTCCATTTTGGAATGAGTTCATATTGTATTTTCTTATACGAAGAAGACACTAAAAATGTTAATCCGAATAGCTGTGAATGGGGATAGTAGTTTACTGATGGCAACAGTTTCGCAAGGAATACTTTTTATCAATCTGTCATAAATGATGCAGAAGAAAATCTTCAAATATTACCCGCTAACTCGAGCTTTATTGTCACGTGATATGAAGGCAGTCATTCGTTTATTTTGTAAATGGGTAAACGCATCAAAGTAATAATAATGAGTGAAAGTAGCTACTGGTGCTCTTCGCTTACCTGCTGCCAACTTCTTTCTACGTGTACAATTACTAAGACTTCAAATTCGTCTTGTACTTTTCATCCTTCTCCTTATTATGCTGCTCTAGTTCATTTCATACTGGTCAATGTAAAACTGGAACATTCAGCGTAATTCGACATTATTTCATCAGCCCTTCCATAACAGTTCTTCGCTTATTTTAGTGATGTATAATATAGCTCCATTACCAGATTAATCTAAATATAGGTATAATGGAAAGTTACTACATATTTTTAAGGGACAATGAGCTCAGAACATTCCCTTCTATTGCCGCCTGGAGGTAGCTTTACTAATAAGTGTTCGGAAGAGCTGCGAATGTGGCATCACAGTTGACAGAGGCAAGGGGAATTACCGGCAATATAATAAAATGGTTTTTTTTCAGACGGATTTATTCATCTGGGAGGGAGTACCGTTGAGGGAGGTCACTAAAATATGCCTACGGCATGACAATACCAGTTTGTCACCGAATTGGTATGTCGATAAGGTAAATGTCCGTCAAATTACATCTCAGAAGAGCCAAGAGCCAACAAAGACATTCATTTGTAACCGATGGATCAGCAGTAGCAACGAGGAATTCATTCCCATGTCCTATAAAGTATCAACACCCTCACCTGCGCCCTCTCTGGATAGCCGCAGGTTTGACCTACCTGAGGCAAATTTTGAACTTCCAACAATACCGTCGCTTGGGAAACTACCTCCCATACCTTCGGAATCATCTGTGCCATCACTACCACTTGACATGCCTTTGCCGTCACCTCCACCAATAGATCTCAGTGGCAGACCGCAGATCGCGACAGTTCAACAGGAAAGTAATGATATGGTCATGAAAATGCCATCCAGTTCCCAAGATCCACTGCCTCCATTGTCTCCTACTGAGGAAGAAGAGGGTAGTTTTTCTGATTGTTTTATGATAAAAGGTGTCGGAATTACTTAATACCAGGAGTAGATTTAAAAAATCTTAAAGTTGCATAAAACACGTTTTTTTGTTTTATTGCGATAAGTTTGAAAAGTTACAAACCCTAAATTTAGAGAGACTTGTGTTTGTTACTTTAAAGTATTCAAAAGCTCGAGAACAAACGTTTGCGAAAGTATACAGTTGTAGCAGAAAGAGCCCCTCCTAAGAAAACTTTACCAATCCTGGGAATAAGTTTTGATGTTTAAAAATTTATAAGTGAAAGGCGCGCTCAACTCCGTGCAGCATTCCGATCCTCTGTTCTGGTCAAAAGTACACAGCTGTCATGATACCCAACATCATAACACAGCTTTTCTCGTGAATTATTGCACCTATCATTGGTGCAGAAAGCTTCGCCTATCTCAACCGTCTAGGATGACTGCTTTTGCACTTTGGATGAATGCACAGGATTTGTGGAAGCCTTGGCTGTAATGTGTGCCGGAAGTGTCAGTGACAGCCGTACGTAGAATCTCCTACGAAATGTTGACACACAGATGTTTTACTAGTGAGCAAACAGTTGTTGACTGTCACTACTATGTCAGTAGCGAAGTGCAATTAAAGTCTTATTTAGCCATAAGTAAATGTTTTCAGATTTGAGTTTGACGCCTCGATTGACAAGGCACATGATTTGTCACCGCGCACCGTAATTGTTAACTCAATAAAGAGTCCATTCATCGTTCTACATCATGTACGCTGACTACTAGTGACGGAGTACACCTGTCGCGGTTATATTTTTTGCATATGGTTAAAAAACAGAAATCTAACTCTGGCTTGAGGAGAAATAAATGATCATTCATGCTTTTATTAATGATAGTTCAACTAATCTAGTAATAGGAAGAATAGTTTTTATGCATCTACTCAAAGGGAACTGCTTAAATAGTACCTTACAAGATTACCTTGGCAACGGGGAATGGCGCGGATGCGGGCACACGGGGGCCTGTCTTGATGAATCTCATTGGATCAAATGGAGCCTCCACCGGATGGCTTTGCTTTCAGAATCAAGCAGGAAATACTGCGCTACCAGCCGCCTCAATTAAAACCTTTGTCTTCAGTGCGCTCTCCCTGAAGGAGATCACTGCTATTGAGGTACATTTTTGTTAGAGCGTAGTTCATATCCCATTATCTAAGGGATTGTCTCATTTAGATCAAAGTGAGCATTAGTTTTATTTTTAATAAGAGTTCCGTTGCAACAGAGTGGAACTTCGTAAGTAATTATGTGAGAGGGTTAATTTTTAGGAGTGAAACCGAAATGGATGGATCGGTCTTCTCCGAATTTCATCCTTTGTAGATCTATAATCAGGCAGAAGAACAGAACCGGAGCGGTTGGCATCTAAAGCACTTACGTGTCGAAATTCCCAACAGACAAATGATCTACGAAATTCCCTGCAATGTATGGGTGACCAGTAAGAAGGGTACACACAGAGCTTATCGCAGACTCACCATCACGCCACAGTACCTTGTCAAAAAGAATCCAGGTAAATGGCTTCAAAAAAAAAGAAAATCAAAAAGAACCTCACTTCATGATGTTTACCTTGCTATTTTATTTTCCTCGCAAAAAAATCAAGCTCATTTGTAAAATGTCGTCGGGAAGATTGACAGGAATTTTCCAAAGTATCCACCAAACTGTGGTTCAGGCAACATGGCTTTTTGTTTTACTGAAGAACAAGATTTCATCAGTAAAAAGTTGACTACAGTTTATTTTCATCAGTCACAATGAGCGAATCGTGTCGAAATGTCACAGTAGCCATTACATATACAATCATCTTCCTTCAGCAAAATTTCTATTAGCTATTACTGCATGCAGAAAATCTCCTTCCTGCTATTATAATGCCAAATTAGGGTTACAAAAAGTGAAAGGAAACCAATTATTAAAATAAAATAGACCATTTACATTCCCTCCCAAAATCACATTGTTTTATAGCCAAAAGATCACCCTCTATCGAAAAGAGGTTGTTTTTAATGTGCCATTAAACTAACAAATTATCGTGAGACCCCTCTATTTACCTGCTTATTTTCCTTCTCACTTATAGTTCCTTTTAAAAAAAAAGCCGTTTTATACCTTGAAACTTTGGGTGGATGGCTCAATACCCGAGAATATGAGAGACAACATATCTCTACAGGTTAGAGGAGATCAGGGGACTGTATCGGATGCTGTGATTGTTAATCGCGATTGCGCTCTACATATTCGATTGCTGACATTGCAATTTCATGTCAAAGACGACTTGGCATCCTTTGATCGTGTGAAGATTCGACTTTGCTGTCAAAGTGAACAAGAGGTTGAGTTTTTGTCTTAGTCTTTCACATGTCTTAAACAGATAAAAATTGGTTGATAAAAATGAAGATATATGAATAATTAGACCACAGAAATTGCGGCTTTTTAAAACGAACTTCCTGCGAATTGCGTGAGATTCTACATGCACGCGTAGTAAACGCGTCAGTTAATAAGTACAGTTTTCTTCGTTAAGTCCTCTGTTGTTTTCTTTTTGTTCCCAACCGGATAGTTGTAGTTCGAGTTTGAGATAAGAGCAGATTTAAAAGTGAATAATCTATCGTTTTTCGTTATGTATTACGCAGCATTTGGAGGAAGTGTTGTAAGCAGTAGCAAAGCATACCGTCGAGGTGGTGATTGGGTCATGGATAGATGCATCAATTTTAGGGAACCTTTTCTCTTGATTATAAATAATTGAATGGTCTGTTACTATTGTTACGTTAAACTGATTAGAGATTAGCCTGTGCAGAAAAGCATCACATTTGCATCAGATGGAAAGTGAAAGTCGTGAAAAGTATTGACAAATGAAATGAAAATGGGGAAGAAGGTCTATAATTTCTTGTTGAAAAAGTGGCATGTTTTAGTTTGCTTGCTGACTTGCTAGTAAGACAGACAACCCTGTGATGAAAATGGCTTTTGTCCATTTGTGCTTTTGTACTGCAATGCTTGTTAGGCGAACGAATATGCTATTAGTTGTCTCTAAACGATCCAATTCACCACCCACCTCACACTTCGAAGGCAAGCACTACTTCATCCCCAGGACACTAAGACTTATTATGAGGTGTGGTGGACTGCAGGCGGAAGCAGTGTTTACAGCGACTTCGCCACATGCAAAGGTCCAAACAGTGATTAGGCCTGAGGTCTATCTACTCCGAATAATTCAACTGAAAAACTGACCATTGAGAAATTCTTTATCCGAGGATGGGCAGAAAGGAGATAGTTCCTCATCCTCAACCCCGTCTCCCCTATATCCCAGTAAAGGTAATCTTTCGTGTGATTAATATCACGTTTTCTTGACACATACTGGGAAATCACATGAACACATGCGAAATGAAAGGAATGGTTGTAGGGTAAGAGTGAAATAAACAAGAAGGATGCCGGAGTGCATCTTTGCTTGTCTGCTTCTTGAGACAGAGCGATTTACGATCCCGTCTGTCCTTGAAAAAGAGCGATAGATTATTCGTTGCGATCATTTCAAGCAAATGCTTTACGAAATCTTTTATGCAAAATTATGGGACTATAGATGCACAAAGTAAGGCAGAATTAGATGGGAATGTAATATAATCTGAATAAATCGTTTTTGGTTATCATTAATAAGTTAACGATAATGAGAACTTGGCAAATTAATCTAGTGAAGATGATTCGATGCGCAAATAACTCTGCCAGTGCCTCTTGCTAATACAGATGGTGAAAAGTACTGCATTCAATGCATTCGTTTTTCCCTTAAATTTGGTAAAAGTTGTGAGGAAAAGTAGATTTCACTCTTTGTAATAATGTATTTTGCGTTTATAAACAAATTCAACATTACCAAAAATCAGACAACATAAAACCAACATCCGCATGCAATGGATGAAGTTTTGCGTTAGTAAAAATTAAATGATATTGAGAAGGGGAGAGATAATATGGGAGAAAGCGATGAAGAAATCCTTCAGGACTGCGACTTAGTGCTATCCCAAAGTCCACTACAAATAGCGGTAATATTGTCTCTCAGATTGAAGCCGAGTGGGGAATCACCAGCGCAGTTCTTCAACGCGAAGATGAATTGACAAGCAAACAATACTACTTCACTGAATGGCAATTTGAAGAAGTTAATCAACAAACTTATCGGTGCAGTGAAATCACCTCTTTTCCACCGGCTAAACCTTCTGGTGAGGTGACATTCCAAGACTTATTTAAATGAGTTTCATGCTAATTTGAAAACCCATGGTATTAACTGTGAGCAAGCCGTTCAAATATTTGTGTTAGACAGATACGGTAAACCAAATGGTAAATGAAAGAAAAATTCCATATTGTCAATTATTTCCCACTTTTGTTATCATCTTAAATGCAGTCACGAAATCTCAATGCATATAAGAATGGTACAGAACCAAATCCCTTTCCTTAATTATAGTGCCAAACTATTTAGCTAATAAGAAGTGAACAGTGATAAAGTTTTCCTTCGCTATCGTAAAAGTTATTAACAGAGCTTTGGTGCTTAATCCTCTCTTCCGTTTATTTCCAGTGACATCTTATAAAATTCGGATAAAGACATCGGATTTGCCGCATGCTAATACCAATGCGAATGTCTACCTTCGTTTGATCGGTGAAATTGTTGAGTCGGCAGACATTCACTTGAAGGAGTCAGAGACAAATAGGACTTCCTTTGAAAGAGATCAGGTTTGATAAATAAACTTGTTTGTCTTGCTTATATTTTATCATTTCACGCAAAAATCCGTCTGGTACGCATTCCAATGACTAAACTTTCATTGTCTAGATGTCAAGTAATTGGTAAATTTGTCTGTTCTAGCGTCCAAATTCCCCAAGAGGTCAATGGCACTCTTACAAGAAATTAAAATTCATACCTTTGAAGAGATCACGTAAAACAAATACAATTCCTTTTGGCAATCCACATTTAATAAATAGATTTTCTGCTAGACAACGTAGTTCCTCTGGTTTTTAGTCATCTCTGAACACGCTGTAAAGTATACAGTTCCAAAAGTTCAGAAGAATTGGGAAATAAGTAGCATGGATATTGCCAACATGGAGATCACATCACAAGAGACTTGACGTTTCATCAAACCTAATAATAGAGGATAAATTGTTGCCTTCTTTTTAGATAGATCAATTCACAATCAAAAACTTACCCAATCTTGGCGAACTGACAGGCTGTCGTCTATGGCATGACAACCGAATGCCTGCTGGAGCATGGCATTGCAAGTGGATCTACGTGGTCGAGGTGCCTCCAGAAGGCAGCCACCTGTCACCTCAAAGCTGGTACTTCCCTTGCAATCGATGGCTGCGAGGTGACGGCCGTTCTCAGGTCGTACCTCTTGATCTACTGCCTCTAGATGCTAAGGCGGCGCCTGCTCTAGCTTTTTGTGAACCCGAAACCAGTAATTCACCCCAAGCGGAAGAATTGAAGATAGCTCAGCATCCCTCTGAAAGGATTGATGAAACAGGTTTGCGAAGTCATTTGTCATCTTCCATATCGGCGATTTTAACCAATGTTGAGATTCGTACCAGTTAATTCACAGTAGAGAAATGGGAACAGTGTTTCATTTTACACAAAAAAGGTACAGCCTTCTATAAAGGCAGTTTGCAAGTTAGAAAAAGGGTATCACAGATGAATTTGGTGCAAATCAACTTTTAAGGGCTCGAATAATTTAAAATAAGCAGTTTAAGAATAGTTAATATTTTAACAAAAAACAGGTCATTTTACCGGTTAGAAGTTAGCAAGACACTGGAAAAAGTGTCTTTAAAAGTGCTATAATTTTTTCTAAAATACCTGCTCATCTAATGCGCTAGTACAAAGTGAATAAGTGTTCACCGAAGTCAACAGGTTCTAGGTAAAGCGAAATCATATTTTAATTTAACGAAACCTCCCCAAATGGTGACGTTTTTGCCTAATTGTTGATTGACTTATCCAATGCACATGACATGGGTTGTCACCATTGACACCTTAAGCTGATTGGAGATTATCGTGTGAAGAACAACATAGCAGCTACATCGTATGAATGGTGAAAGCCATGGAAGGAAATTGACCAAAGAAGTGAAGGCGAGGTGGAAGGTGTCTGGTCCACCGCAGACAAAGGTAGTGTTCACGGCGACTTGGCCACTTACAAGGGTCCAAACAGAAATTTTGGCTGAGATCTTACTATCTCATACAGTAAACTAAACAAAAAGCTTCTTTTATCAAATCAATGGGAAACGTAGTCCCATTCCTGTCATAGAACAGTTCAACCCAAAACATAACCCCATGTCGCCTACCTTAGAAGGAAGGCAATGCTGTCTCTGCCTTATTCTTTATTATGTCGTGTCGGTATCTTACCAACTGATTGATATCACCATTTCTTGAGCCAAACACTGGTCAATAGCATGATCATATGTGAAATAGAATGGATACTTTTGTAAATAAGCTTTAGATAGGTGGGGGGTGGCTAGAGTTTAGATGCGCCTATTGTTTATTTGAAGTGGAACGTTTGATTCACAGCTGATATTTCCTACTATCTACACAAAATTTACTCTATCTTAACAAACAATTTAAAGGTACACCCTACTTTTAAGTAGCGACATATGAACTTGACTTAACGATTCTTGAGGTGTAGTATGAGCTCAAATGTGTAATTACTTCTTTACTAGATTTTACTACCTTTAAGATTACTTTATCGATGTGGAAACGAGTAATGCAAATGAAGCTGGCACAAGGTACACAGGTTGGCTTCAAATCAAAGGTCGGAATGGCATCTCTCCCGTTCTTAAATTGATTGATCCCGATGGTAATCCTGTCCTACAGACCGGATCTACTGATAGATTTAGGTAAGGCGAAGAATGGAATAATGCTGCAAATTCTTTGTTTTCTGTGAATGAATCATTTTGGTATGAAGGCACATTCAAAAAGCCCTAATCAATTGTGGTCACTATTTCTACTGATTATTTCAGTAGACATTGCCTCTAGCGCTTCATGCCGGCAATTATCCTATATTATATTTCCAGTTATTACTATGAAAGTAACTATGTAATAATAATCCGTTGCTTAGAAAGGTCGATTACAATGCGATAGTATTTGGTGGGGAAAAAGTGAAAAGAGTCCACTGATTTCGTGGTACTTTCCAACTCTCTCAGCTACTTAAGCATTTTTTGCGATTATTGGTTATGAGTAAAACAAACTGTCGTTACAACTCAGTAATGAGAAACTTATGTCAAAATTATCTGATTTCTGTTGTCTCCCCTTTCTTAAGTTTCCATTATGCATTAAAGAAAGCTGGCATGTGATAGCACCAGAGGACCTTGGGTATTCATGGCTAATGCCACTATTAGTCGACAAATAAAGTGCAAATTGATTTGACATTATGGCATAATTTTACAGGTCAATACTGTCCTTTTTTTCAGCAACAAAGAAATGTTTCCTATGGTTAATATCCTCACTCTAGATCCTAAAAATGTTATTATTTATGCTATGCAAGCACCATCAAATAGGGGAATGGAACGGTTATATATCAAATAAAGGATGTCAGCCAAATCTCAGTGGAATTTCATCACTGCTATGACTTTTACTTCGATAATGTCACTTTTGATTCACCAACAGGACTAAAACGATATGGTTCTGTAAAAGTGCCTAGCCACACAACTGTAAAAATCCTGAAGTTGCCAATTCACTAAATTTCTAAACTTCTTAACCATCTTTTTATAAAAAACAGTTTTGAAACAGTACTTAAGCCCAAGAGAAGCTTGAAATTATGCCGCTGATTTCATATTCTTCACTGGAGTAAGCACGCCCTGTTTCAAGATGTAACTGAATTACTAACGCATGATTTGCTGTTCCAATCGGTTTTATTACCTCCAGAATGAAGTGTGAGTCTTTGGGGGTCCTACAACAAATCTACGTGGGACTACATGATTCCAATGCCCATTTTGATGAGGACGAAGAGGAGCCGAAATACGTTAATCTTCAATTGAGCAGGCGGAATCAATGGAATTGTAGAACCATTCTAGTGACAGATGGTCGCGATGGCGAGACATATCTATTCAATATAAATCAGTGGATAATAGCCACACCTGAAATTGACCGCCGAATGTGCATCGCTGCCCGACCTGCTGAGTTACGAATCATCAAACAGAAGAAGGTAGAAAATGTAAAAGGTAATTTCTCAGTTTACTGGATTTTGCTCGGAGAGGAAGTAAGAATACGTGTATAGTTGGTAGCTTGTCTTTGTTAATCAAATCTGTGTTAAAGTATTTAAATATTACTAAAACTTCTTATTTAGTTGCGTATTTCAACGTGCGTATGGTGAATTTCGAGCGATTCTTTATGCAAGGAAAGCTCAAATCAAATCGGTACTTTTCAATTATGTTTTTTGCCTAAAAGAATGCTATATTTCAAAGCCTATAAACTGCTTTTACTTTGCAGCAGTTATACACTCAATCCAGTGTTAGTCGAACACGTGAAAAGCCTCTACATGGAAAGGTCTTTCAGTACAACAATCATTTCCTATCAGCTTGTTTGTCTTAATGCCTATAGTAAAGTACCACTTTGAAATTAGCAAATGGTTGTGTTCATTGATGGTGCAGAAAAATTGGCCCCTCAGGCATCCGGGATTGTTGATTTCACGCATTGGATAATTGTTCAAGATTTGCAGGAGCTTTGACTGTAGTGTGCTGGGATTGTCAGTGACAGCCGTGCGTAGGCCCACCTACGATGTGTTGACACTCTGATGGCCTCTTGGTGAGCAAAAAGCTATTGAGCATCACAGCTATCATAATCACGAAGTGTAGTTTAAGTCTTTTATAGGTATGAGTAGATATTTTCAGAATTGGGTTTGATGCCTCTGTTAAAAAGGTACTATTTTTATCACCAAGTGCGTTGAACGCAATCAGACACTACCTGTTCCTAAGGCTGTGGTTACCACAGTTGCCCGCCATCTTGTTGAAGGGCGTTTAAACCAGGGTGGACTGGCCATTAACATGAGGTTTCACTTGAACGTTCTCATCTGAGCAGTTTGTGCAATCCCTAAAAACGTATAGATCCCTTAATCCTGTTCCAGATAAAGGAGTGTTCAAATTACTATCGCCTTCAAAGCACATCATTAAGCATCTCTAATTTTCCACTCTTATAGAATTTTTAGATTATAGCACGGCTCCAACAGTGACGTATAAGATTAGCATCGAAACGGGTGCTGATGTGAACGCTGGAACAACAGCAAATGCCTACATCACCCTTTATGGCAATCAGAAGGGTGCAACTTCGGGTTCGCAACGACTTCAGAGAATTTCCAATCAGACGTTTGCACGAGGAAAAGTAGATGTATTTTTCATTTCATGCGCTAAATTAGGTATGTCCTGCTTTTAACATCTCAATTTTACCACTTCCTAGCATTCAAATTTTCCTCTAGAGGATTGTCTGGCTTTGACTAAACCGAAAAATTACTTGATATGATGGATGAAACTTTAGGTTTTGTGCTAAGACAATGGCATGACATGTATGACATGGATTTCATGAGTCATCGCTACAAATCCTATCGCAGGGTTCGAAAAAGGGACACAAAAGGCTTTAGATGCATTAATCTAATGAAATTCCCAGAAGTTAAAACAAAATCTCGACTCATTTTATCACTGCAAATAAAGAATGGGAGCACCATTGATAAAATTTTTGAAGGATGTCTCTTCCCAGGGCTATGCTAATACTTTACGTTCTTTTGAAATATTTAATCTTTTGGTTGGCAACGGATTTTACTCAGTATTTACCAAACCGGTAACTTAATCCTTTAAAATAATGACCAGCCTGTAGCGTCCCGAGACTCCCTGAAGACGAAAGAAGACACAATACTCGTGCAGAATATATATATATTCAGCACGGAGAAGGTGTCTGGGCTATTGGCATGGCCCGAAAGGCCGGCCCACCCAGCGAGGTACAAGGGTGCTAATTCAAAGTAAAAAAGTGGCGCCGAGGGATAAACCACTACCGTATTGCATAGCCTCCCTCCTCTTTTGAGCGTCGTCCCCGGCGCTCCCACAGGTCAACCTCCCGCGTCAGCCATTACAACGTAGTCGGTGCAGTAAAGAAACATCCACGAGCCAGTCACCAAATTAGCGCGCAACTTGACCTCAACGTCACTGATCCCTCTTGGCGGCTTGACTGGATCTGGGGTTTCGTCCGGTTTAGGGATTTGATTCAGGACGAGAACTGCGCCGGCCATTATGCGTGGCCATAGGTGTCTGGGCTATTGGCATGGCCCGAAAGGCCAGCCCACCCAGTGAGGTACAAGGGGGCTAATTCAAAGTCAAATGTGGCGCCTCACTAGAACCGAGGGATAAACCACTATCCTATTACAAGCCTATTCAAAATTTGCACAGAATTCTGAGATTATCAATTGTGCAGTTTCTCTACCTCGGCGACTCTATTTAAACAAGGCGTATCCGTTTCTTCACTCCGTCGAACTTTAATTTGTTGCCTTCGAAGCTTACATTAATTGGGAGGTTCGATGCTAACATTCAATTCCTAGAAACAGCCTTTTTTGCACTTTATGCATATACATGTACTACAAAAACTTATTCTTTTTTAATTAGACCCCCTCAAAAGGTCGTTTTCAAAATTTTTTGCAGCTTCAGAAATGTTATGCAAAAAAGTTGGAGTTTAGGCTCTTCCCTACTCATAATTTATTCAGTCATTTGGTATATTGCCCTGAGGGGCTGTAAGCGTAACGAAAATATCTAAAAACCGCCTATTTTTGGTAAAATAAAATATGAGAATGACTACCGAATAAAAAGTTATAATCTGACTCAGACCAAACTGAGTGTTACAGAATGCGCTCATTTAAAGCCCAATTTAACCCGCAAGTTTCGAATCTGAGGTTTACAAAGAGGTGGAAGAAGAAGCTGGCTTCGCTTTATTCAAACAACGAATTTCGCCTCTGTTGCTTGTTCTATGAGGTAGGGAATTTTTAGCATTCTTTCGCTTGCAGACAGTGCGATTCATTTGAGGACAATAATGTAGCTAAAACCGTAGAGCTCTCTCCTATTTCACAATTACCCTTTGGAGGAAATACAAGGAATGCATGTGTAGAAATCGACTTCGACATTCTCCGGTATTTGGTCAACTTTTGTAGAAAGAGATTCCCAACAACTCATTGTTGCACATATATTTGTCTCACAAATGTTAGAAGGACTTAGAACATTCACGATGTTTAATGTGTCTCCTTTTCTGCGTAGGTGCTGCTCAATGCGTTTCAGTGTAAAATCGTAAAAAATGATGATGCTGCTTAGAAGAAAACCCCCTTTTGGCACTTGAAATAATTTTTTGTTTTAACGTTTTTAGGTGAGGTGAACCGCATTCAAATTGAGCATGATAATGCGGGAGGTTCACCGGATTGGTTCATTAAGGGTGTCACGGTAATGGATACAAGTACTGGTGATGTGTGGACATTCCCATGTGATGCCTGGATTTCTCTAACACAGGGATCCAAATCCCTAAGGAAAGAGTTAAAATCCTCGTGAATTCGCCACAATTCTTGCTGGTATTCTAACAGTTAACTACAAATGTGCCTTTTTGTCTCGTAACACTGAATGAAAGGTTATGCATGAGATTGGTTATTATTAAGTTTTCTCCACCTTGTCAAACTTTGAAATAGATTATTCGGTTAAGTTGTTGAACTTTCTCTGCACGCAATGATTGCATAAATGGAACTCCTTAGAATATTCCATTAGAATATTTTTAATTTGGTCTTAAAAGTGTGGTATTGCGGTGGTGCTTTGATCAGTTTTACTGACAATGAGGTAGTGCAGCGAAGCAGGCATGTATCGCTTTAAAACTTCATGACATGTAAGCACATTCATCCTTCGTTTGAATCAGCGTTGCGATGGTGAATCTGGTGTAGGAGCTTCACAAGTCCCTAATGAAAATAACGAATACTACAAGCGGGAATAACGTTATCTGACCGTAGACTATCAGAGTGTAATTATTTTTCAAATTGCGTAGCTCTACACACCCAAGACAGATGAGATTTTGAGAGATTTCTTGTTTAAGTCCTCCTGCACACCAAACTTGTTTGCGGTCAACTTGAACAGGTGCATATAGTGTACCCATTGCAGTGTGTTTCTTGTGTATCTGAAAAATAAGAGATTATATTAATCCCCCTCAGTAGATGCCTTAAAAATGCTTGACTATTTTGAGCAGTTTTTTTTGCAAAATAATAACCTAAAGTGAAGTAGAACGGAGTAATGTAGTCAAGAATGGGATATTGAGGTCATGTGAGAAAAATTCTTAAATGATGCTTACAGATAAACAAGTATTGGTTGTAATGCTAATTTTTTTTCTGAGGTTGGGCTAGCAGATATTAAAACACACTTTAAAGTAGATGTTTCATCGGAAGTTTTTGCCCAAGAGCACATCTGATCGTGTTTCTGTCCTGAGATGCGAAAGGTACGATACGAAATGAAAATTTAACCCAACTTTTGCTCGCAATGACCTGTGTTTATCTAAACCATTAAAAAATGGCTCGCAAAAGGGAGAATTATAGCAGAGTTTTTGCATCTTACACAGTTACTTATGCACAAGTTTTAGAGGATGTAGCACAGATGTCGACTTATTTAGCTTATTTCAATGCGACTTGGCAGCATGACTTTCTTCCCGATTACAACTTTTACCCTTAAAAATGTAGTGTCTAATAGGAAACCGAAAAGATTTTTTTGCGTAGACATTCCCTTATACTTCATAAAAGAGTGAAGTGGTTTTTCGTCCATGTGTCAAACTTTGATGTGACCAAAGAAGGTCGCGTGGTTTTTGGCAGTCATCTATCGAAACGGCACATTTTAGTGTGTATTAGTTGGCATCTGATGGATGCGACTAAAGATTGCTTTGTTCGCAAATTGAGTTTAATACACCTCCAAAGCTGAGGTAGAAGATCACTTCCATCAATGGGCGTCAATGAGCACTTAAAGGAGGTGGAGTGAGCAATGGCAGAACGCACAGTCCAGAAGAAATGTGGTAAAAAGGGGATTCTGCTGATGAGTTACTCAATGCTAATTGCACCACTTTCAGGGACCTTATTGTTTCTTGATTATTGTGAATGATAAATTGACCCGGCAATGTTTACACATCTGAGCAACTGGAAACTAACGTATAAATGACAAATTGCAGTAGCGTTCAATGCCTGAGGTGTTGATGAAGCGATTGGTTTGCGTCTTCGTCGGTTGTAAAGAGAAAGTATTGAAACTGGCAAAGCGAATGTGGTGTACATGCCAAGGGTTAACAGATAACAATGCGCTTACAAGACTGTGCATTTGTTCTTCACCTCTTTGAAATATACAATATAAAAGCCTTCTTCTGATTGCTTGTTGACTCATCTTTGATAACAAAAGGGATTTTATCCCACCATTAAATAAAAGAATAAACATCTTGTCGGCTATTACCAAACGATCCACCTAAATCACGCCTCTAAAGTGCTTGCAGCGCCCCGAGACTTCCAGAAGGCATTAGGACTACTGGCATAGCCTGAAGGCCAGCCCACCCGGTGAGGTACAATGGCCAAGACAAAGTGGCCCTTTACCAATATCGACCGTTAAACAAACAATCAAAGTATTGTAGTGCTCACCTCGTCAGTATCTGACTAATATTACACAGCTATATTTATTAATTGATATTTAATGTGTGGTATTATTTCTAAAAAGTGCTTTATGAATGAATTCTATTTTTGGTGCCATCTAACTAGGCGATTTTCTGGAGATATGCCTCTTAGCTTGATTGTCCAATACCTTTAAAGTATTAATGTTTCATCAACTCTTTTTAGATTTTCTGAGCATCGTTTAAAGTTAAATGACTTTTTTTTTGCGATCACTTGACAAGTCTTAGTTTATCACATCCATCTTCCAATTTCTTGAGTTTTTATACAGATGATTTTTACGTTATTACAAGAGTGTATACTTCTAAAAGAAGGATAACGATACACTGTAAAAACATAACTAGAGTAGTTACGTATGCTTCTTTCCGCTATAAAAGATTAATCTGTGTTTCATCTAGGCTACTTTTAAGTAGATTTGTTTTCCGATGTTAATATGCAAAGGCTTTGAAATTTTTTTCACTGTACACTTATATTCCTCTCCCTAATGAAGCCATATCTAGCATAAATCGAATAAAAACTTGAGACACTAGGAAATACCGGGAAAACACTTTTCACTTTTTAATCTGTGAGTGCAAATACTCAATTGTTTTTAATAAAATCCAGTATCGGTTTCCCCTTTTTTCAGAGTAACTGCAACTAAATTCAAAAAACACATTGGTATGATGAAAATTTAGTCAGAAATATAAATTGGAGACAGCGTATTTCAAATCTTTTTTTATAGAGGAAATGAAAAACCACTGGAAATGCTATCAATTTCAGAAATTCTGACCTATTAAGTAAGTAATCTTTTGTGGATAGTCTTAAATAAATCAAATTTATTTTAAATGCTAATGGCAAACCAATGCATAGTTAACAAAAGGCAGAAGTGAATTACCTTTGTAAAAATTTTTTCTTTTTTTAAAACGGCAATAAGTTGTGTATTCTCATAGTTTGAAAAATCTAGTTGTAACAAATACTGGTAGTCTTGAATTGTTGTAGTCTAAGACAAAGATTCGATGACTGGGGCTGGGAAAGAGAACTAGAGGTTATCATAGCTTTGCATTAATATACGGGTTTGATTGTCTACATTTTGTCCCCTTCTTCCACTGCTGTTCCAGTATGAATGAAGCAGAAAATTGATGATGCGATTTCATGTCTCGATTCTCTCCCACTACATGTTGTATCTTGATTGGATTCGTCCTGTGGGACCCCCTTATGGCTTTCAAAGGCAGAAAATGGACCCAGCATCACTGCAGAAGGCAACTGGTCATCGTCTTCACCTGCCAGTTGCGATCTGATGGCAGACTTTAGAGGGCAAAATTGCGTTTGAATTCTCTGCTAATTTCTCTAACGGCGAAGAAGGAAGTAAGCAATTGTTACTAAGATACAGATAATGACACAAATAAAGCTAATAGCTGTTGCACATGAAATCTTCAGACCTTCACATTCTCGAAGGACAGGAGTCTTTTAGGAAAACCGTTTTGCGAATGGATGGAACTTATTTCATCAACAAAGTCAGATAGGAGAATGCCATCCTGTATGCTGTATTGTGTTGACATCATTGAGATTTTGATTAGTACTCGCTGAGGAGCCACAATCATGAGGGCAAAGGCATTGACTCTGATGTCTTCTGACGTTGTTTGAACAAAATAGTAGGAGAATTTGGGAATTACACACTTCCTATCATCAATTTTTTTGTATGTAAAGCGTAGTAACTCTTCTTTACCATCATCGATAGGTAACTTAAAAAATTTTTTGCTGCTGTGTTTTGTAGAAATTCAAAATAAAAGGTCTTTTTAGGCTTAAATTTGTCTTCAAAAGATTTTTAGCTTATAGACGTTCTGTAGAGCTGTGAATAGTCAAAATATCAAATAATCGCTCATCCGGGGCAAACCCTTTCCCAAAGGGAACGTAAGCGCTTTAAACCACATCAATGGTTTGGTGATTACAGGAAATACAATAGTTGCAAGAGGTTGTATTGTTAAAATGCAAATTCTACATTATCCAACAATAGTAGACCTAGAACAAGTTTCAAAGTCAGATGGAATGTTTCAAACATCCGGTATCCTTGTCCAAATGAGAGAGAAATACCTAATTTTGAAGCTATGCATGGAAGATCTTAAAAAATCTTTTTAGTGGGAAAAATACCGCTTTGGACCTGCGAAAATTGTACATTAAAGAAAAATTCTGAATACTCTGTGCAAATAACAAGGGGGAAATCATCTTGTAAAATGTCGAAATTAAACTTCCTGTTTCTTTAATAAAGTACCGAGCATTGATCCAAATGAAACGCACTAAACAAGCAAGATAAATTCCACTATAGGTAGGAAAATTTGCGTGAGAATACATAGCCCCTTCAATTTTGTCAAGTGGTTTGGAACTTAAGTACATCCAAGCCTTATTCATTGTTACCCGGACGCTACTTTTCACTTCTGCATTTGGAGAGGCCGACTTCCTCTGCGTACAACGATTGGCATCGTTAGAATTGTAGAACATGACTTTCCATTAGTTTTTAACATAGCCTTTTAAGTCATCAAAACAAATCTACTTTGACTTGGTTCATAAAAGTAAATAATTAAAGCGAAAAAAAGCAAAATATTTATGCATTTTAAATGAAATAGTGTCGAGCATACCACAACAACGTGTGAGCTTGTACACGGTTGAAATTTTGGCACACAGATGCGTTATCCTTTGGCTAAACATAAAGTAGGAAAAAAGGTGAATTGTTTATTTTCATTAAGCAAAAATGCAGTAGCCTGCGGGATCGCTCAAACCCTTGCCATATATTTGCCTAAAAGAATATATATATATGCATATATACTAGATTGGAAGTCAAGTTCAACGAAAAGATGATAAGGGGTATATCCTACATTAAACATCTTCACATTAGTCAGATGC